GATGGTAATTGGTAGTAACCAAAATAGAATTTAAAAAGATGGTAGTGGACTATTAATTATGTATATAAATGGTGGGTTATGAGTTAAAAAAAATGTGTAGGCACCCTTTTATATGAATGGAAGTTCTGTTTTATAATTACCATAATGGCATTAAGTGATTTGGAGGTTATGTCATTTAGTAAATGATTTAAATGGTATGCTTAGTGGAGAAAAATGAATAGTCAACTTAAGGAATAAAAAATAAAAATAAATGGGAATGCATTTGTTGAGGAAAAATTGTGAGTGAGAGAGAGAAAAAAAAATAATTATGATGGGATGAATTAGGGGTCGTTTGGTACACCATATCCGGTTTATCTAATTTTTAAAATTTAAGTGCTAAATATGTATGCAAAAATTAATATAACGTGTGTCGTCAACATAAAATTTTTTATTGTTTTAAGAGAAATTCGATAGCTTACAAAAATTAAAAAAAAACAAGTGCGCAAAACTTTACTATCGTGACCAAAACTTTAATTTGAACTCTTACGAAGGGTCGTAGCGACTTAGTAATATAACCCAAATTATTTTCGATTTATACAAGAACAATTACTTTAAAATGAAACACGAGATTTTATTTTATTTTATTTTCTCAGTCGCTACATCCTCACCTTTCAATATTATTGCAAAAAACGTCACTACCTTTTATTTTTTGACATTTTCACCCTTAATGACACATTTAATTACGCAAACCATTATTTCTATTCATTTTCATCCAATTTCTCAATATAAAAACTATGAAATGACGAATATACCCTCCTATTTAAATAAAAAAAACTAAAAAATTAATTGGAACCATACTCCCAATTTTTTTTTAAAAAAAGTGCAAACAACTCCCCAATAAATTATTAAAAAATTTAATTTTTTTTAAAAAGTGAAAACAAGCCCCAATTAAATTTATTTAAAAATTAAAAAGTGAAAATGAGTCCCACATAAATTATTAAAGAATTAGAAATTAAAAATATATATATTATTTAAATAGGAGGGTATATTCATTATTTCACAGTTTTTTATTGAAAAATTGGATGAAAATGGATGAAAATGATGGTTTGCACAATCAAATGTATAATTAATGGTGAAAATGCCAAAAAAAAAAAGGTATGAACTTTTTCGCGATAACAGCGAAAGATAGGGATAATACTAATTACACTTTTAATAATTTATTTGTACTTATTTGCACTTTTAAAAAAATAGGGACTGTGATTGCAATTAGTTTTTTTCTTTTTCTTTTTCTTTTTCTTTTTATTTTATTTAAAGAGAGGGGTATATTCGTCATTTCATAATTTTTAATTGAAAAAATAGGTGAAAATGACCTTTTGCACAATAAAATGTGAAAATAAGGGTGAAAAATGCCAAAAAATGAAAGGTAGAGACGTTTTACAAAATAACAATGAAAAGTGGGGACATTATGTGCTAATTACCCAAATTCAACAAGCGTTTTAGATATGTTATTTTTTCGTGCTATTTTATATTATATTGGTACTAGAGTTCAGCTATATTTTGAGATTCATAATTCATAAATCCCCTATGTACATGATGAAGACATACAACACTGTCGACAATTGTTCTTGAAGACGGTGGATATAAAAGAAACAAATGAAAGTTTTGGTGCAATAAATTGACGCAAGAGCACAATGATCATAGAGTCGACAATGGAGGAAGACTCTGATTATAACGATAACCTTTTGATTCTTTCAATATTGAGAGACGAAAGAATGATGATTCAAATGAAGACTCTTGGTTCTCGCTAAAAAGTGCATTTTTTGGATTGTTATGAGCCAATTTTTAGTTTTAGGATTGTTATTTTTTAGTATTCCACATCAGCCGTGCTCCATATCAGCACTCACGATAACAGCATTCACCATTGTGCTCCCACTGCCAAGTTTGTTGTAATATATTCTAACAGCTTCCTTGAATCAAGGAACCAATCATTGTATCATCTAGAACCTTCTTGATGTAAATATTTATACCACATTACAGCTGAATGAAGACATGAAGCTTGAGCCAATTCATTATTCAATTTACTTGCCTTCTAACTTGGTATCAGAGCCACACAATGGAAAATGCCAGTAATTTCCCACAAAACACTGATGCAAACTTTGCTCAAGCATCCATCTCAAGTAGCAACACTGGCTCAATGCAAGGAACCAGCAACACCTCACCTTTCAGCATGAATTTAACCCAAGTGGTATCAATTAAGCTTGACAAAAATAATTTCCTCCTTTGGCAGAATATGATACTCCCCATAATCAGGGGACATGACCTTGAAGGATATATTCTGGGGACAAAGCTGTGTCCATCAGAATTCATTGGAATTCAGGTTGCTGGTGAAATGGGAACCAGCATCGAAATGACTAAAAATCTTGAACACACCCAGTGGAGGTCAACAGACCAACTGCTAATGGGCTAGCTTTACTCCTCTATGACTCTAGATATAGCCATGAGAGTTATGGGAACTAAAAACTCAAACGAGTTATGGACAGCAGTAAAGGAAAGCTATGGAGTTTAGAACAGATCCAGGATAACTTTTCTCACTGGTGAACTTCAAAAATCAAGAAAATGAGCTATGAGCATTGATCAATATCTTAACAAAGTGAAGCTGCTAGCAGATAACCTTGAGATTGCAGGAAAAGCTATTCCTCACTCTGATTTGGTGACTCAAGTTCTGGCAGGCTTGGATGAAGATTATACTCCAATTGTTGTTCAGATCAATAGCAGAGATAACATTACCTGGGGAGAACTGCAGTCTAAATTGATGACATTTGAAAGTAGATTGGAGCATCTCAACTCAGTCAGAAATGAGATGACAGGAATTAGCCTTGATCATCAAGCCTCGGCAAATTTTTCCCAGAGATCTGGTTCTAACTATAGCCATTTTAGATCCAGCAGACCACACTCGAATGGAAGATTCCCTGGTTACAGCACTTTTAGAGGTGGAATAAGATGAAGAAACAGAGGTGGGACCTTCTATGGTGGTGACAGGCCTATATGTCAAGTATGTGGAAAGGCTGGTCATAAGGCCAACATATGTAACTTCCGGTTCGATGAAAGTTACACAGGTGCACCACCAAACCATAGACAAACTTACAGGCATTCACCTGCACTAGCAACTTATGTTGCAATTCCCAGTACATTGAACGATCCAGCTTGGTTTGCCAATACTGGAGCCAGCATCATATCACTTCAGATAAACAGAATCTCATTTCACCAAATGAATACACTGGTAAGGAAACAATCATGGTTGGAAATGGAAATAAACTTCAGATCTCACACTTTGGTAATAGCCATCTTCCAACCATGAATGACAAAAGTCTTATCTTAAATAAAATGGTTCTTGTACCTGAAATCAAGAAGAATCTCATCAGTGTTTCCCAATTGACTTCTGATAATAAAGTCTATATGGAATTCTATTCTAACCACTGTTTTGTTAAGGATCAGCTAACGAAGGAAGTGATGCTACAAGGGAAGCTTAAGGAAGGGCTATATCAACTGGACTTGCCTCAACAAAACACCCAAAACCACCATCAGCCTACTGTTTACTCAAATAACTACTGCTGCAGTGCCCTATCTTTCAATCACAGTCTAGATTCGAGTAAAAAATCTTTAAATTTCCAAGCTAATGTATGGTACAAGAGGCTTGGACATCCATCTAGCCAAGTGATGTCTCAAGTTCTCAAACTCCGTAATCAAAAGTTAAAGACGAATGAAAGTATTTCCTTCTGTGATGCTTGCCAATTTGGGAAATCACATCTTCTAGCTTTCACTCTTTCAACCTCACACGCAAAATCATCCCTTGAACTCGTGCATATGGATCTATGGGGACCAGTACCAATCCTATCAACATGTGGTTTTAGATACTATATAAAATTTCTAGACGATTTCAGTAGATTCTCTTGGATCTATCCTCTTAA